CTGTAAATAATCTATAATAGCACATCATATAATTATTCTTACTTACTAAAATACCTCTATGTCATCCTAACAGAATAGGAATCACTTGGTAAATCAAATAAAAAAGAAATAAAAATATATGCGAGAACACATCAATCACTGAAGGTCTAGGTTATGACAATGGTCAGTGAGTCTCATATCCTTATCCTTCTGTGGTCTTGTACAACACTTAACATAAGTGCTAGTGTAATCCTTCAGTCAAAGACCAACTGAATCGGGAATACACTACAGTCTTTTTCCAAGTGGGGTCTCACTGCCAGTCTAGACTGTGAACGAATAGTTTAGTCTTAGAAGGAACCGATAGGTGATCTTTCCGTTCAAAACTCTTCGAAACACACTATCTCAATATAAGACATGGAGTATGTATTGCATAAATTAATAAGCTGCAAACATATGTACTTTGACCGAAACATGATTGCCAGATCAAAATGGAATTGATAGAAACTGCAAAACACAGCTTTTACAGCATACCTCTAACAATCTCCCACTTATGCTTTATAAGCTCATGGCTAAACAAAAATAACCACAATTTTTTTCAATCTAATTCTCAAAGACTAGTCTCCTATGTTACCCTACTTGGCAACAACGACTTCTCCTCATTCAACGATTTCTCGTATCGGGTAATACTCGCGCTCTATGTGTTTAATTGCTTTATGAGTTCGTGGTTCCTTCTAATTTGCTACTGCTCCGCTGTTATCACAGAACACTGTGGTTGCAGCGGGCAAACTCGATACCACATCAAGGTCGAGGAGAAAATTCCTGAGCTAGACAGCTTCTTTCGCTGCCTCTGAGGCTGCTACATACTCAGCCTCCATGGTTGAGTCCGCCACGCATTTCTGCTTGACACTCCTCCATACTATGGCTTCTCCTCCTAAAGTAAACACAAACCCTGAGGTTGACTTGCTTTCATCCCGGTCTGCCTGAAAGTCAGAATCCGTGTAACCCAACGGAAGCAACTCATCTGTCTGGTAAACCAACATATAATCCTTAGTCCTACGAAGATACTTGAGTATATGTTTTACCACAGACCAATGTTCTGGTCCTGGATTACTCTGATATCTTGCTACCATGCCCACGGCATAACAAATATCAGGTCGCGTGCACAACATCGCATACATGAGGCTTCCTACTGCCGATGCATAAGGAATTGCCTTCATGTCCTCTATCTCCTGAGGCGTCTTCGGGGACATCCTCTTAGATAGAGGTATTCCGTGCCGAAAGGGCAAATCCCCTTTCTTGGAATCCTACATGTTGAAACGCTTTAGGACAGTATCTACGTATGTGGATTAGGATAGGCACAACTTTCTCTTCTCTCGGTTGCGAATAACCTTGA